GGCTGGGGCTCCGCATTCCCACTCCCTCCGGGCTGGGCCAGGACCCCAGCAGCGCCATAGGGCTGGGGCTCCGCATTCCCGCTCCCTCCGGGCTGGGCCAAGACCCCCCAGCGGACCCATAGGGCCGGGGCTCCGCATTCCCGCTCCCTCTGGGCTGGGCCAGGACCCCCAGCAGACCCATAGGGCCGGGGCTCCGCATTCCCGCTCCCTCCGGGCTGGGCCAGGACTCCCTGGGTGCCCTCGGAGCTGCTTCCCTGTTCCGGGTTTATGCCCCGCCCCCCCCAGTTCACACCTTTCCCTGACCCAGACTAGTTGCTGTGTTGTCTCTCCAGGTGTGGAGTGGTGGGCAGGTCCAGCTCATGCAGTGCCTGCAGGAAGGTGAGTGCCACGCTGGGACGCTGACGCCATCTCTTCTCTAAGGGGAGCCAGCTGGGCTGGGGTTCCCCTGAGCCTGGTGCCCCCTCAGCCTCTCCTCTGCCCTAGGTGCCCTGCGGGGCCAGCCGGCCAACCTCTTGCTGATGGAGACCAGGGACCCACAGGGGAACATGTCGCTCTGTGCCATGGAGCGAGGCACCTGCACTCCACTGGCCAACTCCACCTGTATGGTGAGGAGCCCCTTGCCCTATGCGGCTCCATGGAGGGCAGGAACCCCGGGCAGGGCCCACAGGGCCCCCCTCCCCAGGCCCTGCCCGCAGGCTGCGGCCCCAGCAGCTCCTGTACCATTCTCATCCTTTGCCTCCTTTGCAGGGAGTTGGGGTGGGGGCCCTGGAGCAGCAGCTGCGATGGGATGTGCAGTCGGGGCAGTGTGTGCAGGTCAGTGCCATGGGGGAGCGGTATTGTCACACGCATGGGGGTAGATGGGTCAGTAACCGGCAGCTGTCTCCACAGGTCTGGCGTGCGGAGGGCAGCGTGGTGGGCACCGGCTGGGCCTGCTCGCTGGAGAAGTGTGAGTATGTCGGGACGGGGCGGGGGGGGGGGGGGGGAGGCAGGCGGTTGCCTGGCCCCCATTGAGCCAGGGCCTCTCTGCTCTGGAGTTCAACAATGCAGGTCGGCGCTCAGCCACTGGTGCTGGACCCATGGGCCCAGTGCGGGGGAGGGGGATGCTGGACCCCCAGCCCACAGGGAGAGGGCAGGGACCAGCCTTCCCACCTGCCTCGTGAAGGGGGCTCCGTTGGGAGGGAGGGAGGGATGGGGGGCAGGGCTTAGAGGAGGGCCTGAGGCAAGGTGCCAGCCCGTGGCCAGGCGCTCCCTGGGCCGCGGCGATTCTCGAGAGCAGGGAAAGCTGCTGAGCTGCCAGTCCGAAGCCTCCCCGGCCAGTGTGTGTCCTTCGAGCCTTGGGATCATTCGCTGCCACCAGGGGCCTAGCCCTGACCCCCCCTGCCCTGAGCACCACCTGCCCCTCTTAGGGTTGCCAACTTTCTCATCGCACAAAACCAAACACTCTTGCCCGGCCCCTTCTCCGAGGCCCCATCCCTGCTCACTCCACCCCCTCCCCCTGTCTCTTGCTCTCCCCCACCTTCACTCCCTTGCTTATTTTCATCCGGCTGGGGCCGGGGGTTGTGGTGTGTGGGGGGTGAGGGCTCCGGCTGGGGAGTGCACTCCGGGGTGGGGTCAGAAATGAATGGTTCAGGGTGTGGGAGGGGGCTCTGGGCTGGGGCAGGGGGTTGGGGTGCAGGAAGAGATGAGGGGTGCGGGCTCTGGGGTGGGGCAGGGGGTTGGGGTGCAGGAGGGGTGCGGGTACTGGGCGGCGCTGACCTCGGGGGCTCCCTGGAAGTGGTGACATGTCCCTTGGCTCCTAGGCAGAAACTCAGCCAGGTGGCTCTGCTTGGTGCATGCTGCCTCCGCCCACAGGCACCGCCCCCACAGCTCCCATTGGCTGTGGTTCCTGGCCAGTGGGAGCTGCGGAGCTGGCACTCCGAGCAGGGGCAGTGAAAACTGGACACCTGGCAACCCTAACCCCTGTGTCCTGGCAGATCTCCGGGCCCGCTGGGCGCTGGCTTGGATGGGGGTTCTCCTCAGCACCTTCTGCATCCTGCTCCTGCTCCTGCTCAAGAAGGAAAATCTGAAAGGTGAGAGCTCCCCTCCCGCTTCCCACGGGCTGCGCTGCCACTCCCAACCCCCTCCTGGCTGCACTACAGCACTGCCCTCCCCACTCCCTGCACTGCCAAGTCCCTTCTCCACTGATCCCTAGGGCTGTGTGGGGCACTGGGGCCAGCACTGACTGCTGGGGAGAGCGCCCCC